ACATGTTATTTCTTTAGCACATGTCTATCACAATTAAATCCTGCAATATCATTTTCCCTCATTTTTTTTTTCATACTCAAACAAAATGAGAGAAAAAACCTACTATTTTATGCCATTCAATAATTAATATTCATTTCCGTCGATCTAATTGTTTGAACAAATGTCCATTTCATATACTTCTATATACACATTATAAAATAAAATAAAAAATTAAATAATACAATAATGGTATATATAAATATATAATATGAGTTGACATATAATATTTGAACTTTTATGTTGTTGCACTCATAAATATGAATTTTATTTTATTGATTATTATTTTTTAAATTAAACGTATGGTATTGTATTTAACTGTTATTTATAGGTGAAAGAAAATATAAGAAATATATTCACAGAGGATTCCTAAAATCACTCTCATGAATCACTCCTATCAATATTCTGCCAAACAAATAATTGGTGCTAGTCTCCACTAATCTTCACTTGTGATAAAATCTGAGGACTGGTCTTCACATGGCCAGTGAATAAATCAAAATTTCATACCTTGGGAAACTAGGAACAAATGATAGCATCAGTTGATCTACTCCATATATTTTTATTTTCTCACAAAGGATCTCCCTTTCTGGAATGGGCTTGCTTCATTTGTAGGGTGGAAGTACTCGTTTGGCCTGTAGAAGAGTTTTGTTGGAGGCATATGTAGGTGCCCTACTTAAGTGAAATTAAAACAAGTGAAGATCAGTTAAAATCACCCCCTCAACTACATAGTTGAAGGGGGTTTTTTGCCAAAAATATTCATAAGAGGGGTTTATTGCAAATGGGTAAAAGTTGAGAGAGGTTTTTGCAATTTGCTCAACTATTAACCACCAAAATTTGTAATATAGTAATACTTCCACACATTTTTAAATGAAAAATTGAGTGCTCAAAGACCCCATAAGAGCAAAGTGGGTATATGAGTTTGTTGTTAAGGTGAAAACTAAAATTGAAAAGAAATTGATAAAACTTTAAAGATGGATAAAAATATATATAAAGGCCTCAAAGGGACTCGAACTCTAAAGGCCCTTTATTAATTAGGCTTAAGATTTAGGAATATGCATATATTGATTTAAGAACCTTGTTTATGTGAAATTAAAAGGGTTTAATTCATTTAGACCCCCTGTGGTTTGTCAATACTTCAAGGAGGCCCTCCCCCCCAACCCACATTTGCAAATCTTCAGTCAGACCCCTTATTAGACATTGTCGGCTGACAATGTTGAAGGAGGGAATGAAATGTCTATTTTACCCTTGTTCAAGAATTAATATTTTATTAGCAAAATACCATCTCTTATATATATATCACTGTTCTTCTTCCTTACTGCCCACACAAGTCCTCCTTAAATCATTGGATTGCTAAGCACATCAAATCATCAATACTACGGCGACTTAATGGTGGCCGTTAAAGAATCCACATAGGTCACCGGCAACCCACTTTTGTCATAACGCAACCACGTTTAAGTCGCCGGGAAAACGAATAATCAGGTCGTTGTGAGGCGACTTGGTGATTGGAGTGTAGCAGCGACCATACAAGTCGTTGCAAGTTGCTTCGGGTATTGACTTGGGTCGCTAATAGTGAACCCGAGGCTTAAGAGAGGACGGTGACCATTGTGTGACCCAATTTAGGTCACCGTCAATAATGTATTTCAGATCACCGTCGGAGACCTGGGTAAAAGAGAAAGAAGCGACTACGGTGACCTAATGGTGGCCATTAAAGAATCGACATGGTATAGGCGACCCACTTTTGCCATAACGAGACCACGCTTGGGTCGCCAAGAAAATGAAGAACCAGGTCGCTGTGAGGTGATCGGAATGTAGCAGCGACCATACAGGTCGCTACAGGTTGCTTTGGGTAGGGTCTTAGGTCGTTGTTAGTGACCCAGAGGCTTGAGAGAGGACGGCGACCATTGGGTCGCCATCAATAATGGATTTCAGGTTCCCACCGGCGACCGAGGTGAAGGAGAAGAAGGCATCAACCTTCACGATTGTTGCCGGCGTTAATTAGAGTAGTAGGTCGCTACTCCGACAATTATGCTAGTGATAAAGGCATCGGCAGTGACCAGTTTGGTCGTCGCCGATTAGTGTAGTATTCGCCGGCAACAAGGAAGAAGAAGATGGCCGTGATGGAGAATAGGAGAAATGACTCACAGTTGTTCGTAATTTCAAAGCTCATCAGAACACACCGTTGTTCACTGTTTCGAAGCTCACCGAAACTGTAACCACGCTTAATTGGCCTTTTCAAATCTTCAATGTTAGGTGAAGTACACAGAACCAAGATTAAAACGCTCTCTCTATATTGTTCGCCAATGCTTTTCTGATGGAAGTCACTAAAGCTTTTCTGTTGGGTCTTGATGCACCAGTGCTGATATATCAATGTAATTTACAGTCTGAACTGTAGCACGCTGTTTTTCTGAAGTTGGGTAGTTGAAGCAGAAGCTCTCGCCTGTCTATCATAGCGCTAAAACTATTGCAGCAATCACTATTGAGCATGAAAAACCGGTGGAGTTCATATGAACGACTGGGTAAGATCGTTAGACTGATATGGGTTTCGCCAAAGCTTGGAGCTCGCCGGAACTGGAGCAGTTTCAGTATAGTAAGGAAGGTTGTAATTGTCTTTTTACTTATGTTAAGGGTGAATTGGGCATTTTCAGTAAATTTCTGCATGACATTAGCAAAAAAGGTGTTTGACCATGTTTGACCTTTACATGAGGGGGGAAATGGATGCGAATCAGAAAAAGTCGGGGGTCTGACTGAAGATTTGCAAATGTGAGGGGGTTTGCTTGAAGTATTGACAAACCACAAGGGGTCTAAATGAATTAAACCCAAATTAAAACAATAAGGTCCAATGAGTTTAATTGAAATCCATGGTACCAAGATTTTGGTCGAAATAAATATTGTAATAAAATTCGTGTTCCATACATTACGCAACATTTCCTTCTACTTTTCACTTAACTTTGAATAGACAACCTTTTACTTCAATTTAAATCTTTCATTTCGAATCCCTTAAGTTGACAAATTAATGATTTGATGCAAACCTTATGGTGTCTGATGGGCAGGGGAAACATTGATACATTTTTAAAAAGGTTGATTTGGATTAGGAAAATGATTTTATACTCAATTTTTATATACCAGCCAAATAAATTGGCTGAAAAAAAAAAAAAAATGTCATATGAATATATTCAAAGAATCTAATTTAGTTATCTATAATGTCGAGAGATTAAGTCTCATTCAGAGCATTATAAGAGTTAGGGTCAGTTTGGTGCAATGGAAAAGGGAGGAAAGGGAAGGGGAGGTGATGGAGGGGGATTAAAAATTTGTGTTTGGTAAAAATTGTTGAAAGGAAAGGGAAGATTTTGGAAGGTTATCTCAAAGCTTGTATAGTGTTTTGCTTACCCTCCCAAAAATGGGAGGAAATGGAAGGAAAGGGAAGGAGAGGCTTGATGAAGAATTTCTGATGCCAAATTTACCTATACAAAAACAAGAATTACAGAGCTTGATGAGTTGATTTAGAAAAAAAAATTAAAACAAAACCCATACATACAAGTTAGCAGTTGCAGAGAGAGAGGGGGGGGCAAGCTTGAGAGTTGAGAGACAGCCGCTAAAGCTTGCGAACGGCGATCCCGAACTGGAACAGCGGGCGATGGAAACTAAAAGAGATGGGTTTTGATTTTTGGAACAATCTGAAATGATATGCCGATATGGGTTTTGATATAGGTAATAGCTTTTGAACTTTTGATTCTTGCAACAGATAGATAAACTAAACTATATGGGTTTTGAACTTCTGATTCTTGTAGATTTGTAGTTTGCAATTGCATAGAGAAAGAGAGAGGGCAAGTTGAGAGTTGAGAACGAGAACAGAGATGGAGGCAGTGATTGGGGAGGCTGAAATGATTTGCCCTATATATATATATATATATATATATATATATATATATATATATTTAACTTTTAAAATATAAAAGGGTATAATGGTAAATTTATTTAAATAATTTCCTTTCCTTCCTTCTTCCAAACATAATTATTATCTTCCTTCTTCCAAACATAATTCTTATCTTTTCATTTCTTTTCCCTCATTAAGCACCCAAACACGATAAGGGGTTAAAATTATCCTCCCCTTTCATTTCCTTCACTTTCCCTCATAACTAATGTTATCCTTTCTTTCCATACCCACCGTACCAAACACAGCCTTACTTTCCTAGTTAGTCACTCGTAACCATGAAAATGAAAATGAAAATAAAAATGAAAATGAAAATGCAAGACTGAAAATGAAAATGCATGTTTGTTACGATAGGAAGACTAAGCAAATTTGTTACAAACTTAAAAATTGGGAAGTCGTCAGAAGTACTCACAGTATAGTTGCATCGCAGGATCAATGAAAATGGAATCCCAGGATTGTACATGTATAAGTGTATATGCATATATGTGTGTGTGTGTGTGTGTATTTGTGTATGTATGTAGGTGGCTGTGTGCATATAAATTTTAGTTTCTTTGGTTCTGGATTTGTGGACTTCTGTTTTCTAGCTTGATTTGCTTCTGCCCTGATTTGTTCTTAAAGATTTGTAGGTGGTTCTAGTTTGTTTGCGTATGTTTGAGCTTGGGAATGCTTCTTGTAACAAATAAATAAATAATAATAAATGAAGCATGTGGCAAATAAATAGGACAATTTATATATGGAAGAAAGTTGAAAGGAGAAGCAAGATGCAAGGGAGTATGATGATGTAGACCTTGTTACCAATCCACATGTAGCAAAGGAAATTGAGTGAGCATAGCTTAATGTACTATTTCAATACCACTGCATGTGCAAGTCGTCTTCATCTTTTCCAAGCTGCTTCTTTTTGGTGGAAAATCTGCCAAAGACTTGTGAAAGTCTTTTCAATCTTAACAACACACCAGTTGAGCCTCTCCTTCTCTCACACACACACACAGCCTTGGAACTGTACTACAGTCTCTTTGATTCTGCCCAGACCACCAAAAACCATGTACCTTTCTCATCTTAGAATCATCATCACCGTCTATATCATCCACCATCTGGTATTCACAGGCACCGGTGACTCGCCTGTCCAATATTACTCGGTGGATGACATCGCCATTAACTGTGGCTCCTCTGGTAGTTCATCTGCTTTTGATGGTCGGGAATGGATCGGAGATATGGGCTCAACATTTACTTCACCAAAAGAAGCAAAACCCATATCAGTAATTTCATCAGCAACAGTCCACCAATCACTTTTTGCCGATTCTATTCCCAACCTGACCGCCCGGATCTCTCATGCTCAGTTCACCTATACATTCCAACTCAGGCCAGGTCAAAAATTCATTCGCCTACTCTTCTATCCAGCTTCATACCCTGGTTTTGAAACATCCAAGGCACTTTTTAATGTTAAAGCAGGTCAGTTTACCCTCCTCAACAGCTTCAGCCCTTCCATTACTGCTGATGCTTTGGGTGTAAGTTATTTTGCAAAAGAATTCTGTGTGAACATCGAAGAAAATCAAGTGTTCCACATAACCATTACTCCGTCTAAAAGTACCAGTTATTTTGATGTTTATGCTTTTATCAACAGAATTGAGATCGTCTCCATGCCCGCCGGTCTTTATTACACTGCCAATGGTGATTTGGGTGCTTTTCTTGTTGGCAACAAGTTCCGATTCTGTATTGATAACGGCACCGCGTTAGAGATGGTTCATCGCTTAAATGTAGGAGGGAGATCCATTTTGTCGGTAGAAGATTTTGGCATGTTCCGCATGTGGTCTGAAGACAAGAAATACTTGTTACAATCAAGTCTTTTACGAGTGAGTACAAGCAATATGATCACATACAAAAACATGCCCACATACGTTGCACCATTTAAAGTTTATCAAACAGGTTGGTCAACAGATTCAAACCAACTAACAAACCAAGCGTACAACTTCACATGGAATTTACCAGTTGATTTGGGATTCAGATATCTGGTTAAGCTCCATTTTTGTGAGCTTCAACCCATGATTACTGACAGCAGTCAAAAACAGTTTGATCTCCTATTAAATAATAAGATGGTTGAGATTGATGCAAATGTCATCAAATGGAGCGGTGGAAATGGGGTTGCAATATATAGGGACTATGTGGTCATGATGGAAGGAGACCGAATGGAGTGCCGGCGTGATCTAATCATAACTTTGCAGCTCAAGTATGTGTCAAGCACGAAAAAAATTGACCCGATCCTAAAAGGTATTGAGATATTTAAGTTGACAAATCCGGACAACAATCTCGCCTGTGCAAATCCTGTTTTCAGAACACATGCTTCAAGACCTAGAATCCCAAAACTCCAAAGAATACTTTCGGCTTTCAGCAGCATAAATTTCATCGTAACAGGTGCAATACTCATACTCACTCTATTAAATTTCATTGTCTACCATTTAAATATTTTGCAATCAAACTCTAGCAAAATTAATATCTTGTCATCATTGGATGAGGAGGAGTTGCACCGTCACTTCTCACTTCTTGAGATCCAGTTGGCCACCAACAACTTTGATGATGGACTAGTCATTGGTAAAGGTGGATTTGGTAATGTGTACAAGGGGCTCATCAACAAGACAAGGTGTGTTGCCATAAAGAGGCTGAATTTGCAATCCAAACAAGGGGCTCAAGAGTTTTGGGCTGAGATCAACGCCCTTTCCGATCTTCGGCACAATCATCTTGTCTCTTTGATTGGCTACTGTGATGATTGTCTGGAGATGATCCTGGTCTACGACTACGAGTACATGGCCCATGGGACCCTTGCTGACCATCTCCACAAAGGCAGTAGAAATGGTAGTGGTGACATTCCTCTTTCCTGGGAACAACAACTCAACATCAGTATTGGTGCTGCACGCGGGTTGGACTTTCTGCATACGAGTAGCGGTGCCCACCATGGAATCATACACCGTGATGTGAAGAGCTCAAACATTTTGTTGGATGAAAATTGGGTAGCTAAGATTTCTGATTTTAGGTTGTCAAAACTGGACACTGCAAACGCATCGCGCACCCACATTAGCACCAATGTAAAAGGCACATTTGGGTATCTGGATCCAGAGTATTTCATGACTAGAAGACTAACTAAGAAATCAGACATATATGCCTTAGGTGTGGTGTTGTTCGAAGTATTGTGTGGGAGGAGGGCTGTGGATTTAACACTTGAGGATGAGCAGCATAGTCTAGCCCTCTGGGCCCCAAACTGCATCCGGAAAGGAAAAATTGATCAACTCATTGACCCCAGTATGAAGGAGCAAATCTCACCTTATTGTTTAAGAAGGTTTGTTAAAATTGCCAACAAATGCTTACATGATCAACCAAATGAACGGCCTACAAGGGCTGAAATAGTGGCAAGACTCGATTTAATTACATCGGAGTTGCACAGGAGGGCTGACTCATCCAAACAAGGGGCTCAAGAGTTTTGGGCTGAGATCAACGCCCTTTCCGATCTTCGGCACAATCATCTTGTCTCTTTGATTGGCTACTGTGATGATTGTCTGGAGATGATCCTGGTCTACGACTACGAGTACATGGCCCATGGGACCCTTGCTGACCATCTCCACAAAGGCAGTAGAAATGGTAGTGGTGACATTCCTCTTTCCTGGGAACAACAACTCAACATCAGTATTGGTGCTGCACGCGGGTTGGACTTTCTGCATACGAGTAGCGGTGCCCACCATGGAATCATACACCGTGATGTGAAGAGCTCAAACATTTTGTTGGATGAAAATTGGGTAGCTAAGATTTCTGATTTTAGGTTGTCAAAACTGGACACTGCAAACGCATCGCGCACCCACATTAGCACCAATGTAAAAGGCACATTTGGGTATCTGGATCCAGAGTATTTCATGACTAGAAGACTAACTAAGAAATCAGACATATATGCCTTAGGTGTGGTGTTGTTCGAAGTATTGTGTGGGAGGAGGGCTGTGGATTTAACGCTTGAGGATGAGCAGCATAGTCTAGCCCTCTGGGCCCCAGACTGCATCCGGAAAGGAAAAATTGATCAACTCATTGACCCCAGTATGAAGGAGCAAATCTCACCTTATTGTTTAAGAAGGTTTGTTAAAATTGCCAACAAATGCTTACATGATCAACCAAATGAACGGCCTACAAGGGCTGAAATAGTGGCAAGACTCGATTTAATTACATCGGAGTTGCACAGGAGGGCTGACTCTTATATAGAGCAAGAGATTATCGATGTTGGTGGAACTTGCAACGAGTCTATTGATGGGAGTATTTCATCTGAGAATTCTCTATCAATGTCTGGGCATTACAGTATACACCCTATAGAGGTAATAAATGAAAACATGGTGGTGGAGAGTATTTCACATGGACCAACTAAGAATACCGAATTTTGGAAACAAAAGAAGGATTACGATTCTAGTCGCAGACCATCGTCAGGGTGGAGGGTTTGGGACACGCTTTGGCATAGATAAAGAGGAAAGTGGCCAACAAACAAAGCAACCATTCCTTCAATGATAAATGCTAATCCACCGCCTTCAATGACAAGTGCTTATCCACAGCCAAAAGTATATTGTCGTCGCTTCTCAGTAGCAGATATTCAAGCTGCCACAAACAACTTCAATGATTGCTTCTTAATCAGAAAGGGTTATGATAGGACCATTTATGCGGGTTTTATCCAAGAAATGAGGAAGGTTGCTATCAGTCGATTCAATTGGAAAAGTAATACACCAGATCATTGGTCTATCAGGCAGTATAATAGATTTTGCATGGACTTGGAGGTGCAGTCCGAACTTCGATGCATCAACATCGTGTCCTTGGTTGGGTACTGCTATGATGGGGATGAAATGATCTTGGTGCACGAATACATGGCAAATGGGAGCCTATCCGATCATCTTCACAATACCAGCAATGATACTCAACATCTCCCATGGAAGCAGAGGCTCCAAATCTGCATCGGTGTGGCACAAGGACTGAACTACCTTCACAGAGGTGTGGAGCAGAAAATTATCCATGTAGACATAACTCCGTCCAAAATTCTCTTGGATGAAAACTGGGTTGCAAAGATTTCAAATTTCAAGTTAAGCATGTTGGTTCCCAAGGACGGCTCATTAGCCCCCTCAAAAGTTTTGGGTACATATAACTATATGGCTCCAGAGTATGCGCAACATGGGCAAGCAATGGAAAAATCTGATGTGTACTCTTTTGGCGTGGTGTTGTTTGAAGTTTTGTCGGGAAGGCAAGCATTTAAAATGGAATTCCAGATTCTGGGAGAGACTCTAAGGGAGTTGCTCCTGGATTGCATAGAAATGGAATTACTTGAACAGATCATTGATCCATATCTCACCGGGAATACTATATCGCTTCTTTGCTTGAATGCGTTTGTGCAGATTGCTAGGAAGGAAATGCATATCTGAGATAGAAACCGAACGCCCTCAAATGAATGATGTTGTGCGCCTACTCAAGCATGCTTTGGAACTGCAGGAATTTACTGATGGTGCATTGTTGAATGAGGTAATCAATTACTCCCTTACTCAATATTTTCTACCTAAACAATGTATGTATGTTCCGTATAGGCAAAACATAGGATGGCAAAACTTGTAAGCAACTGTCATTTAAATCCAAATCTAATGGGGAAAAAGGGCTTGCAATTTAATATAAGATTTTTTTAAATCCACTAAAATTTTATATGTAGACTACACGTTTGGTATAATTCTATAGCAAACTATGGTCTAGGACAATTTCATATCAACCCAGACCAACATTGTTGCATGCAGGCACAATTTGGGGCACCATACTTGGATTATCTAACTTATTAATGATTTGACCGGAAGATTTCTTTTATGCATACATTTATAAAAACAAATGACAATTTATTCAACAATATTTTTCTAAACCTTATACTAAAAGTATCATAATTTTTTTAAAAGTAATCCTCACAGTTTCTAACAATTGGAATAGACACCAAAAATTTTAAAATTTTTTATTTTTTTTTTTTTAATATGTGTTTCCCTCAACTAAATTTTTTATTTTTTATTTTTAAATATGTGTTTCCCTCAACTACAAGTAACATTTAGCAATTTACATAAATTTTCAAGTATTCTACTAAATTATTTTCACTCATCTTCAGGGACGAGTACAAGAGAGTCAAGTGACCAACCATAGTTCACATTTGCAGGACTTCGAGCTTTCTGGCCCGCGCTGAACAACTTATTATGTTCTTGTAAGCTTAATATAGATTGGATTCCATTATTTAACAAATAAATATGCCATCGGCGAAAGTTTGTACCTGAAGAACTTTGATGGTAATTTCTTCAAGAGAAGCACATGTACCATTGTTGTGACTTCTACCCAGGAAATGATTTAACTATGTAATAGAAGCACATGTGACAATATTTCTGAATTCAAAGAATATGAAACTATCTAGACAATTTTGGCAAATGCAAAAATCAACACAATGCAGATAGGTAACGATTAGTGGAAATTGCAAAACAGAAGTAAAAAGTTAAAAAAATTTAAATTCGAAACAAAATCCCTACTGAAACAATGTAATACTATTTATTGTTCTTTTTCTTTGAATATCTTTTACTGAAATTTTCGTTTCTGGATAAAACATTAGTCATTTATTATGAAGTACCACTTGAAGCAAATTCTTCCCATGAACTTAAGTTCCTAAAAACACGGTTCCGAAGGTGCAAACCTCTAGTTAATTAAGCTCGATCAAGATGACTATTGCAATTGCTTTCTCATTTAGATTGTTTAAAATTCATCTTGATGCTTAATGAGAAACAATGTCCATCCCTAAAAGGCTTGAGGTTAAAATTTTACAGTACTATACCACATGATGCACTTCTAACCATGATCAAAAAAAAGATCAAATCACAATATGCTCGAGTTGATTTATGGCTCTCTTTGAGCAACTTCAAGGCCCTAATAAAAATCTTCTTTCTTAGCTTTTGGGGGTGTTCAATTTCCTATCTGCAATCTTTTTGTCGATATATTTCTGTTAAAAATTAGAAGATACTATTAATGGATCATTTGATTTGTTTTTTTGGGATAATTAAATTTGAAGGAATATTAATTCACAAGTGAATTTTCCGGTGCAAGTAGCAGTTTGATCATAAGTGAATTTTCACTAAAAGAATTGGAACTTATCTAGCTAAGAAATGGCAAAAACAAATTAATCACCCAGGACTTTAAATGGTGGAGAGATCTTTTGCATGACAAATCTTGAATGGGGAAGCTCTAACAAACTTCCATTCCATGTCTGAAGGCCTCTTGGAGGTGTGCGACAAAAGGTCATGTCACTTACTGTTCTCCCATTATGGTTCTTGCTTTGTATTTTCAACCTAAATAGTGTTTGGGTATTAAGTAGATAGCATACTTAGCTGGTGAAGAAAAATAAATAGCTTGCTAGAGTATCTAGATTGGCTGTTCAGAACAGAACCATTCTAACTACATGAACAGATACCGAACTCCAAATCTGATGGTGAAGAAATCTTTTCCAAATTATGACATCAGGATTACAGTCATATTTCCGTACTCGTAAATTTCCCCCCGTTTTTTTTCTATTGAGTACTAAAACCTTTATTGGTGATTTTAATTACCCAGGAGTTTAATCATAAAATTGTTATAAAGCATTTTCATTTTTTTTTTTTTTTTTTTATAAGCATAAAGCATTTTCATTTGATAGAACCAAACTCAAATTTTATATCTACTACTTCATTTCAGCCACTAAACCACAAAAAATAGTATAGTAACATATGAAAAACCTGTTTCTTAGTCTATTTTTGTGGATACATTACTACCTTAAAACATTTTTTTTATTTTTTATTTTTTTTATTCAAGGGATAAGTAAAGCATGGATTGAAAGTTTCAACACAAATCATAAAATGAAAAGTAAAAAGCAAGCGCGACAGATTATCATATATGGAAGGAAATGAAAAGGGGAAGCAAGAGGCAAGCAGAACCATTTATTTAATTAATAAAAAACCCTAAATTTATAATTTCTCCTGTAACTAAGCATTCAGTGAACAAGTTGCTTCAAGGAATTGATCAGTTGCAAGTAAAATTGGAAATTGGAAATTGGAAATTGACAAAACTGAAGTTTGGAACAGAGTGGCATTTTTGAGACACGATTTGAACCTATTTGACAAGAATTCTAATTATATGTTGGAAAAGTAGATTAGAACGTACCTCATCAATGATCAAAGCTTCTGAGATGTTCCAATTACCCATAGAGATCTGCTAGGGTTTGGAATCCCAGAAAGATTTTTAAATCTTAGAGGGAGCAGTTGTTAATTCCATCGTCGACTCGCCATGTAATGCTGCGAAGTTTTCAATGGAAAATGGGCAAATAAAAAAACACCTAAAAAATTTGGTTTTTATATTTTCAATTAAGTTTTTATTTTTTTTTAAATTTTGTTTTTTTCGGTAAAGCTTATCATTTAATCGGTAGAAGGCTATATTTTATTTATTTCATTGAAATATAATTGTTGCATATTTTATTTATTTCATTGAAATATAATTGTTGCATTAGTATTTTCTTCTTGCAATTTTAAATTACTAAAGGCTTGTTTAGCACTTGTATAATTATATGGTTAAATGTTTAAGATTTATAATGCTACCATGATGTAACCTTTTGCTTTGATATCAAAATGCTAATGTAAGTATACATATGCATTGATGACTTGTTAAAATCAGGTCATATTTAGTCTCGAGGACTTAAGACATGGAACGTGTGATACGTATATGTTGTGACATATTTGTTCATGGAAGGTGAATTTTGTGCATTGTATGCATACGTATATGTTGTGACATATTTGTTGATTTTGGAAATACTTGGGGCATTTGTTATGTTAATATAGCTAGAGTTAGGCTCTAGCGCGGGAGATATGAGTTCTCCCCATATAGTGGCCACTTAAGTAGTTCTCGGCGGGTTAGTATTCCAAAGTAGCTAATTTGTCTTGGTTATAATGTTCATAATCGGATGTGATGTCCAAGATATTCCTATTACATAATTGTTTTTCGTTTCCAAGTTAACAATCCATGTGTAATTGTAACTTGTGATTTTAGTATTGGATGTTCCAATTTGGTTAAGCGTAGTTTTAAACCGTGGATTTGATTTATAATGCTTCGATATTAGTTCTAAGATGATCCCTTAATTTCATTTTTGAACTAAACGTTAGGTGGCATGTTTCACATGTTATGATCTATGTTATGCTTGCAAGGCCATTGAAACCTTAGGTTATCCACATAGTGCACTTTCCTATAGAGTAATTCAATTTACTCACACCCGTTGATTATACATTTTTCAAGTGATGGAGTCCCTCTTTTGGATGGACACTTTCCTTTGCTCATTGTGGATTTGGTGTCATGGACACATTTGTTTTATTTACATGCAAAGTGTTTAGTATGCCCTTTTTGGATCAGTTTTGTAATCATGTTTGTATAAAGTACATTTTGGATCAATATATGAAATTGAGGCCAATGAGCCATTTAATATGTCTAATGTATGTTTCACATGTCATAGGGTTAGTTATGCATGTTGTGAGTATTTATCTGTGCGTTTTTGCACTACCATGCCATTTTCGATTTTGCATTTCACTTAGGAACTTAGTTTTGAGGTCCATGCATTTTCTGGTTTGCAGCTAAGTTTTTGAAAGCTTTTCGAGTCATTTCAGTCGACCGATACTCTATTTCGGTCGACCGGTATCTTTTGCATTCAATTAAATTCTTCAGGCAGTAGCCATTTTCAATATTGAGGCCTCTACCGGTAGACCGATTTTTCATTTCGGTCGAGCGACACTTTCACTTCATTTCGGCAGACTGAATCTCCATTTCGGTCGGCCGATTTGTTGTCTTTTCATCTCAGGACCCTTGTGTCATTTTCATTTTTCGCTTGACCTTGCATGAACCATTTTATGGCATTCATGATTTAGTTTGACCTAGTTCGTGTTCCCTTAATTGTCATCGGTGCCGGAAGGTACCGCTTGACCTTTATGACCTTAGTTTCCGCATTTAGTTCCATATTGAGTGTCGTTACCTTGTTAGAGGATCTTCCTGCGTCCTATAGGTGGTATTCACCTCTAATGACCTTCTCTATTATTTCACTTCCGTATTCGTTTTCTATTTGAGACTCGTGATCTCTAGGGAGGTCACTTTGTTGTCTTAGTCGTGTTTACCTATAGAGACTCTTCTCCTTTCTTGCTTCCGCATTTCAGACTCGATATCGTGTCAGGTTCCGGGTTACTCGCTAACACACTAGGTTCTAGAAATTCAGGCCATCACAGAGTATACCCTTTACACACAAATCTAACCTTGTTTCTAATCACTGCATCCTTTTCATTCATCTTATTTCTGAAAATCCCCTTAGAGCCAATGAAATTTTTGTTTTCTGGCCTCGGTACAAGTGTCTAAGTGTCAATTTTTTTGAATTTGATCAATTTTTTTCCTTCATTGCAACTATCCAAATTTTATCACTTTTAGCTTTATTGTAAGTCTTTGGTTCAATTGAAGAGAGTATGGCAAAGTTATTGTATTCTTCATCATCTTCTTGTTTAAGTTCACTAAGTTTTTTCTTAGCCCAAGTTCGGTAGAAAAGGAAATGTGGTTTCTTTATGGACAACAGGTTCTAATTATGAAGAACTTGCTTCATTTAACCCTGGAGGCAAACCTTCATCTTCGGAGACTATAGATTGAGGATTCTCATCAACTTCAGAGACTATGGATTGAGGATTCTCATCAAACTTCACATTAGTTGACTCAACCATTTTAGAGGTTCTAAGATTGTAATATCTATATGATGTAAACCGAGCGGTGTATCAATAATAAACCACTATTTATAGCACAATTTCAAGTAGAAAATGGCTAAGTGAGGGTATCGATTCACGAAGATTGCTAGCTTATGGCAATCAAAATTGAAAGATTACTTTCGAGTTTGATAAGTGTCACAAATTGGATTGATGATTGGTTGGTTTGTCACTTAGCATAAAAATAAACTTAAAACAGAATTTAAAACGAATTCAATGGTTTGAACAAATAAAGAGAGGAAACTAGGGAGTCAAGTTCACCAAGACCTCATAAACATGCTTTTATGCAATCAACTTGGAGAAAACAATTATATATAACTATGATGTGTAGAAATATAAAACAACTACAACATTTTCTAGAAATATAATTCAGAACTAAGCATAACCCATCTTTGGTTGGAATAACTCATCCACCTAAACTAAATTATGGTATAAGCCATCTTCTCTAGGCATGGCCTATCAAGGTTCTAAAATTGTAAGTTTTAGCACATGAAAGTCAAACATCTAGTATAAACTATCTTCAGTAGACATGGACCATCTACCTAACTAAATTAATCTAAAGGTGTAGCATGGTCCATCTTCCCTTAGCATAATTTATCCAAATTCCTACATAACATGCCAATAAAGCCATTTCATGAATTCAATATCATTGTCACTATGAGAAAATCATGAGTATGATTATATAAATATGCTTTCTAAGACAAGAATTGCATATAAACATACACATAAATAGGAATTCAATTCAGATAATACACCATTTCAATGTAAAAACACTAATTCAATGTAAATCATCTTCTAATTCATGAAATCTATTATATACAATATAATTTCCCCAAATTGAAAACAAAATACTACATGATTACTTTGTTAAGGCTACCTCAACCCCCTAGGAGGGGATTTGGCTCATTCTGGAAGTGGTACAAGCCCCAAGGAATGAAGAAGAAGCCTCCATCTTCAGCCCCATAGCAACCCCTCTCAAGAACACTCAAGAACCCTAATATTTCCTCACCTTCTCTCTCTAAAAATGATACCAATTTCAATTATAATTCAAGTATACAATACAGAGATATGTATATAGCTCTCCATAGTCAGAATAAAGTTCAAAACTTTCGAAAAATCATGCATTCAAGTGGAGAAGAGAAAGAAAAATAACTGAAAATTTAAATCAGCACATTTATTCGCTGGTGGGCGTCTGGACGCCAAGATGGGTGTTCGGACGCAGCTTATCAATGCTGTGTGTCTTGCGCGCACTGGGTGCGTGTGCTGCAGCCTTCTAGCATGTGGCGTCTTGTGAAACCCCTTGGATCCGAGACACGGGTTAATCAGGCCAGGCCCAAACCCGAGGGATATCAAACAATTAATATATTATAACGAACACGGAATACAAAATGAATTTAAGAAACAATGGTTTAAGCTGAAAGAAATCTAAAATATAAAATCCTTTAATATTAAATATACTTAAATCCCAATAATCCAAAACCTCCATAAGTTAACAACTCGGGAATCCATCTCTAGTGGACCCCTAATAAAAAAAATCCTAAACTGAAATGAAAGTAAACTGAAGATAAAATCCAAATCAAATATCTGGAAGGAATTCCTACATCGTCGGTAGAATGGAAGATCGTCTCTTCTTAGCATGAACAAGTTCAAGCCTGGAACTAACGTACACCTGAAAAATAGGAATAGGTCAAGCCCACGAACAAGTTCTAACCTACTACAATCCAAGCAGAGACTCGATACGCATATACACTCTAACCAACTCAACAATAACTATATAAGTCATGTATATATATATATATATCCACACTATGGACTCTCGCTGGACTACGATACGGGTCTCAACCTGAGTAGAAGGCAACATGCAAAATGCACCTGAGTGGGCATGACTACCTAAGCCTAACAGGGTACACCACAACCAGCATAGCCAGCTACGCGTCCTACTACATATACGCTCCCTTACTGTCGACTCTGAGACTCAAGCTCATGTTACCGTACCATAATAATATATTTAAAATTCGTTCATAACCATCCATAATAAATCTAGTAGTCGTTCAGTTTATTCAACTGCACAGACTTAACATAGATAACCAGTAAACCAGCTAGTCATTCAGCTTGTGCAGCTTCTTTGACTTAGCATAAATATAAGTAGGATTTAATTATAATCCATTCCCTTATTCCAATTCAGGTTGGATTTAGTATTTTGTAACTAAACCATTCCTGGTATGTCACCGTCCCATACCGGTGCATACAATCCATCCGTCCAGAAGTTAATAATACAAATCACAAATGTAAATACCAACAAATTCACAATAAGCAAAGTCAAAATATTAAATTGAACATCCTTACTTTACCCCATTACGCAGTTATCCAAGAATTTCTAATACAGTCAACATATGTATAAGTAATTCATCTATTATAAGCATATAATCATTCTGTAATTTAACATGCTTACTCCAGTAACTGATAACTCTTATCATGAGATATATCAATCAATTCCATATTGAACAAATAACAAATAGATAAGCTATCATGCTTATATCGAATTACAAATGTAGAATTCTCCAACACCTGAGATTACACAAAATCCGTTTCCTTGTTCCTTATTTCATGACAAGTATAATATTAATTATATCAATTATCATGCTTGTCTACTATTTATCAGTACAGAATTAAACAAATTCCCATTCATAGAGAATGATTAACCCGAGGTTTAGAAATATTAAAATCCTCCACAATTGAATTAATCAAC